GAGAGAGAGAGAGAGAGAGAGAGAGAGAGAGAGAGAGAGAGAGAGATTGATTATCAACACTTGAGAAGATGCCTCCTTAAGCCAGCTGATCCCATTAACCTCAACTACCTAGCAGACAAACCAAGCTGCACGCTGCCTGGACAGACACAACATCACAAATACACGGGGAGGGTGTAGACCTACTCGAGTGTGACTGCCCCTTTTGTTGACTCGCTAACAAGCTGAACGTGGCCGGCCACTTTCCATTCTTTGGGGATATGATATCAACGGCGCTGCCATTTTGCATTCACGCTTAAAATCTGCAACATCAATGAAACAATTTGGCTGATTAATTACAACGGCGTGTTACTAAAAACAAGTTTTAGGACCAGAGTATATCTGACTGGAATGGAGAGAAGCTGGTCAACGCTATTACCTTGTATCCAGATACATCCAGATGTTGTGTAGACACAAATGACTCACCAGAAACACCGCACTAGTTTGCCTCCCTGTTCATATTTTGATTTAAATACATTTGTTTGTCATGTCAGCCTCCCTCTACACACTTTCGCTTTCTTCCAATGCGATCAGATATGCATACCGCGTATACGACACGTCGAAACATGAACCCCCCCGTCTATACCTCTAAATGTAGCTTGAGTAACGCGTCCACAAATAACTGCCTTCACACTTATTTACAGCTGTCCACCACCTGTGATGTGATAACCTAATGTGAGCAGTCACACTTAAAGCTGAAGATGGGCTAATGACACACCTGCATCCAACCAACTCAGCAGCTTGGTTGGAGCTTAACAAGCTCATAATTACAGCATGCAGAGCTTCGAAAAGAGTTCGGCATGCAGCTCAGGCAGGGGAAAAAAAAAAAAACGGATTAATTTGGGCGGATGTGTCTATTGTGAGGACGAGAGACGGTATGTTGTTCTTGGGTGAGAACGATCGGCTGTCAACGGCGAGCTCAGGCGCTGGGAGAACTTCACACAGTTTGTACTGCTGTGTTTTGGGTCTTATAAGCATTCTGTCTCAATTTCGGCAGCATTTTCAAGCCTGACAAGATCACTATGGGAAAGACAAATGGGTTGATTTGTGGAGAATAAACCCCATCTCTCTCTATTTCGGCAATGCGCTAGCTTGTCTGTCAAATCTGGTTTCGCGGCGCACAGACAAGAGGAGAACATCTTCCAGCAATTATTAACGGAAACAGCCAGCGAGCTGGAACTTGTTCTACTGCTTCAGAGAGAAAGAGAGAGAGAGCTCAGACAAGGGACTGTTAGCTCGGCCCGAGTGTCTAAACAGTGTGAAAGAACGCAATATGAGTCAGACACAACACTACGGCCCTATTTCCTGCATGATTGCTCAGCCCAATTGAATTCTCGAGCACCTTTCATTTGTGAGGCCAATTGTAAAATGAACTTGTGCATTGTTCTTTTAAAAAAAAACAAAAAAAACACACAACTCCTCTGGTCTGCGACATGTTCGGCAGTTCATATCACCTCAGTTTCTCTCTCACACACACAGACATGTCAAGAGATTATAGTGCGATACTCCCATGTTGAGGAATGAGGAGGGGGTGACGAAAGGAGGAGCGACAGGAGGGGATCCAGTTGCATGTGGATCCTATGTGCCCTGATGAGTCCATCAGAAGACGCGGAGGGGGGGGGGGGGGGGGGGGGGGGGGGACACAGACTCACCCCCCAGTCTTTGTTATTACCGTGCGTCTTTGTGCGTTAGTGGGTGTGTCAGTGAGAGAAACAATGCTGTCCCCACAGAGCCCGAGTACTATAGTGGTGGAGCAAGTGAAAAGAGGAGGGGGGGTATTCAGGTCCGTGTGGCCTTTTCCTTCCAACAGTGTGTGGGAAGACCCTCCGGAGCACACAGACACGCCATTCCTTCACCCACAGACACCATGATACACCAGATGGGTGAGGAGGGAGGGGTGAAGGAGACCGAACAGAGGAACTTTTCAGACTGAGGAGGGATAAATATGGAGGGGGGCATTGTGAAGGAGGCGTGGGCTTAATTTGCCAGTGGCCCCAACAATACAAATGGGATGCATGTCATTTCTCATAACACAATGGTACCAAACCTCACTTACCGAGACACTAACATCAGCGCAGCGTTTGTCTTATGTTAGTGTGCATCTCCACCAGCTACACTCAGAGATAATCAAACCATCATCAGACACTATAGTGAGCCAATGAAGTAGGCTATTTAAAGACACCTGTGATATTTGTGACTTAGCTGCTCGCCACTATTGTCCAAAGAGGCTATTTCAGAGTTACATGAAAGGAAAAGTTGCAGCATGAGGACAATAAAGAGAACGACTTGAGAATAAGTGGTCTGATAACTAATTCATATTTTAAAGTTATGACAAGAAAGTTTGAAAGAATTATATTACACCTGACTATTATTCTCACCAAAACAAAACTTAGTGACTTCCTCTCGGACAATTAAGTAGCGAAACAAGTTAATCTGTTCTGCCAGTTACGACACGTTAACAACAATGAAACCAGAAGAACAACATCAACAACAACAACACGTGGCAATTCATTTAATACTTTTCTGGAAACTTAAAGGAGCGGGTAACTCCAATGGTTACTCTAACAGTTACTAACGTCCAGCTAACTTTACCAGAACATTCAAACTTTACATTTTCACATTTACTTACCCAGAATAAAATGTTGAATCCAAACAAGAAGTACTTCACGCAGCAGCTGACTTCGGACTCTTTTAGATGATGGTGTTTTCTACTCATTCTTCCAGGGATAGTGGTGGCTAACTGCGAAGCTAACCAACGTCAGGTAGTTGACTAATACGGTCGGTACTTTAAAAGCGTGGCCAAAGCTGCAGTTCTTGATCGACCAGAGCCACGGTTAGCTGGCTCCATCAGCTAACGTCACACGACAGCGTTAAGTAAATCAAACATATGCGGTTAATAATTATCTTCTCCTCGCTTTGACCAGTAGATTGCTAGGCCAGCTAACTAGCTGGCAACTTCTCTGGTTAGCATTAGCAGCTAACAACAACAAATGCATGGACACTTATGGCAAAGACATTCGTCTGGCTGTTCGGTCGATATTCAAGTTGCCTGGGGTTGATTTCGTAGCGCACACGCCGGGAGACAGGTATCAAGCTGATGGCCTTTCAGCTAAACGTCTCCTCGATTATCTCTGTTCCCGCATCGTCCCTTGAAATCTTCATCCTTGTAGTTTTGTGCTGTAAAACAAGCCCCTGCTGTCAAAAGAGGAAACCACTGCACTAGAAACCCGCCCCTCACGAGCGCCCCCCTGTGTCTCGAGGACGGGTCTCCAAAAGGAGGACAGGAGTTATCTATAGCTTTACTTCCCTATATTTCAGGTTAATAGATGCGCAGGTGCAGCAGTTTTATGATTGAAACAATGCAAAATAGAGAAAAAAACAATCAACAATAGTGTTTTAATTACACGGTTCACAGACCAACGTGTTGTTAATGTTCCCGTCCACAGCAAATTAGTCATATAACAATATATTACTATACAATTATTTATCTTATGGACTAATGTATATTCTGCAACACAGTAAAAAAGAAAAAAAAGAAGAAGGAAAAGAGAGGAGTTGTGAAAGGGAAGCTGCTCAGCTTGTGAACACCAGCTCTCAAACCTGCTGCTATGATGTTAAAATCTATGTTTGGAATGACACTTATGATAAGGAGATATATTGAAATTGTATCTTCAATGTTTTTTCTTCATAGTTTTTGGCTTCATTTTAGTACTATGATGAATTCTTGAATAGAAAGAGAGACCGTAAGAGAATATATGAAATGCTTAATTTGAGAAACAGCTGCATGTACACAATCAGTTCAAACAGTGTCGCCTCATTTGAACTTCTGTCTGGAGTCCTACAGATGGCAGTCTATGAACCTGTGATACATTTAGTTTTATTTTCACCCTGAGGAGTTGCTGTAAGGGACATTGCAGCCACTTAACTATTACCTCGAATGTGTAGTAGGTTGCACTGACAGTGAAGCACGACATTAGCGTTAAAACCAAAGAAATACGTCCTTAAATGTGGTGATCTAGTATATGCAAGTACCTAACTTGTGAGCCAAAGGGTAGTCCTTATGCTGTAATTAAATACATCTAAGAAGTTTGTGTCGGTATTTATTAAAGTGACTGAAAATAGACAATTCATAATATCTCACTTTAACTACTAAACTGCATCAAGATATACTCATTTCACTACCATAAAGTTTTAATGGAGGGGCGGTTGAAGTGCATGACGGGGTCATGTAAGGACCAGATGAAATAAGAATCCTAGTGTGAGTGGCACTGTGCAGGATTACTGCGGTCCTAAATCTACTGCTGTCCTAAATTACTTTAATTGCTCCTTGTGTAGAATATGAATTAATTAGAAAAGCAAAAGACTAATTCAACAGTATAAATGTGTGGAGAAATGTGTTGTATATGAAATGATGTGCATTCCATGACATGATTCCAAATAATGTTTTATTTTTGTATTGTATATTTAAAAAAAGGAAATTACTACTTCAGCTTACAGTAATTTACCACAGTTTTCAGTCCAATGTGTTATGAAGTATATATGCAAAAAAAAGACAATACATTTTTCAAAGTTCACTTTTTATCATGCATTGATTTTCAAACATCATACAGTTTGAAATGAGAGGAAAAAAATGCTGTGTTGAAAAAAAAACATTTACCGCCCCCCCCATCCAAAATGAATAAGTACAATGATTATTTTCTGTGTTTGAGGATGTCAGCGGTGTTTAGTTTGTCCAGAGGCGCCCCGGGTTGAAACCAATCCATGACAGAAATAAGCTTAATCCTGCTGAAGGAGCCAGGTCACCGTGTAGCAGGTGTCCCTGTCACTCAAAAGACACACAGAAGTAAATATTTAGAAATGGGCTGATGCTTTTTGACCTTCATGTCAGTGGGTGGTGGGGGGGGGGTTGTGTGTGCTGGTTCAGGACTGGGCAAGAATCGAATGGTGTGAAAAGAAAGCCAATTGTGGTTTGGAGTCAGCAGTCGGGTTTACAGCTATAATTGCCACCATCACGTAAACATATTGAATCACGCAAGAATGTTCTCACTGTTGTTTATTTGCTTGTTATATTTTTGAATGACACGTTTGAGCAAATCAAGTTTTAAACAATGTCAATTCAACCGTTAAAATGGAATGAACATAAGTGCAAATCAAGTATAAAAAGAAACTTCAGAAGTCAAAGAGAATGTATTTAAAAGAGATATGTATGTATTTCAAATACAATCCATTGCTCTTATCCTTTTCCCACAAACACTAAGATTAATATGTTACAACATACGTCTAACTTTCTTTTCAACAACGTTTTGTTGTACCTTTTCTGACATACGCATTTGCTCCTGGACCTCATCCAACCAAGCCACTTTGTACACCAAGTACAGGCACAAAATATGTTCATTTGTCTCTCATGAAGGACATTACAGGCGGTCTGCCAAAGGCGAAAAAACAAAGGCATACAAACGTCGATCTCCAATATGAATATTACAATCAATATTTCATTACATTTGCACGTTGACAGCTAATATTTGTCCATTGAATTGTTCTCCAGCAATGTTTAAACCCTTTGAAATCTCCTGAATCATGGAAACAGTGTTTTGATTGAACTGGTGCGTCAATGCCTCACCGAACCTCCACTTAACTAATCATCTCTTCATCCTCTCGTCATTCTCTGTCTGTCTGTCTGTACAGCTCACATTCATTTTAGCAAATGCAGTACATAAAGCAACATATAACATACATAACAAACGCTGTTTATTGTTTTTGATTATTGCACTGATATAATTATACACATGATTTATTTCCAATTGAATAAAATGGATAATAAACTGTGGTGAATACTGTGTCCCTGTATGATAATGTGATAATGAGCATGTGTCCCACCTACCACTGTGTTTTTGTCATGGAAAAATGATGGAAACTCATTATTTACTGTATCGTTAGATTTCATCCTTTACTAATGCAATGAGAATGCCTTAAACAAAGTACTGCACAGTCCAATGAGCTACATATTTACACATTACTCATTCAATATGTCCTTTTCTATACCCTACTTTTAAAGTATCTTCCCATGTTGACTTGCATCAGACCAGCAAACATAATTATTATTCATTGATAACATTAAAAACTGATAAAACACCATTTAACTTGAACAATGGCTATGAGTGTATGTTTGTTGTGCAGGTGTAGAAAGTATAACATAACTGAAGTGAATTCTAATAACTTTGGTTACTGCATTTTGAGTGTTTTTGGTATTAAGAAAGCGTACAAGCCACAGCAACTGCGTTATGTAAAAGCTTGTTCTTGTCAGTCCTTACTATGAATGTGAGTCACATAAAATACTATTACTACCTTGATACAACATTTACCATTGTCCAGGATCAGTTTTCAAAGTTACAGAAAGGCATCTTCTCTTAGTCTGATGAAATGCAATCAGAAACTCTTTGGTTGATCCAATGCCCCAGAAGTCTATTCAAACTGAAATCATGCTGTGATGGCCTTCTTGTCACGCCCTCACAGGTCAGTGGAGACGGTGCTTCTCTTCACCCTCAGGCTACCGCCCCAGCCGCGGGGACAGGTGTTGTAGGAGTGCAAGCCAGGCGACCGGAGGCCCGAGTCTTCCGACTCAACAGAGGCATCAGAGTCGGTGAGGGAGCGAGTGTTGTAGAGCCTCACAGGGGAGCAGATCCTCTGCGTTGGGGTTGGAGGAGGGCTGGTGAATGTCGGGGACTGGGCGCCAAATGCCCGCGACTGGAAGGGGCTGATGGGTGGTTTGTGACAGTCGTAGCCATGGTGGGAATTTCCCAGAGGTGAGATGGGGAGGCTGTGACTGCTCAGTGCTCCAGGGGAGGGGCTGTTTTTACGTTTGGCTGCATTGATGATGTTCTTAGCCAGGAGGCGGTGGTTGGCTTTAGAGTCTGGGTTATTAACAATGGGGGACAAGCAGCGACTGTCTTTGGGCGGGGGAACGGGAGAGGTGGCAGAGGATGTGTACAGAGGTTTAGTGGCCTGGAAGGATAAACTGGTCTGAGAGAGTGCAGGAGACTGGGAACGAGAGCCCCAAGGAGGAGAGACAGGAGATGTGGCTGTAGATATTTGGGTTGGTCTGGAAGTAGGAACAAAGGAAATGGTGGAAGACAGGATATTTCGGCTCACCATAGGGGACTGGCATCTTGATCCCCAAGGAGGAGAGCGTGGAGATGTGGCTGTAGATGGTTGGGAGGGTCTGGATGCAGACATGGAGGTGACAGTGGAGGACTGGGTAAGATCGGTTACCATTGGGGACTGGCATCTTGAACCCCAAGGAGGAGAGCGTGGAGAGGTGGCTGTAGATGTTTGAGAGGGTCTGGATGTTGTAGTGGAGGTAACCGTGGATAACTGGATATTCTGACCGGCCATAGGGGATTGGCATCTTGTACCCCTGGGAGAGGATACAGGGGAAGTAACTGAGCGGCTAAAGATGGTGGTGGAGGGCCGATTGGTTTGGAGGCTGGGAGTCCAGGTCCCAGTGACGGGGCCCTCTGGGCTGCTGAAACGTCTGGTGAGGCTGGGCGTCCTGGTTGGCGTGGGAGTCTCACTGGGGGTTTCAACTGGGAAGGACTCTTTTGGTGTCTGTTGACAAATAATGTATTTTAGACTCTTGGAAACATACATTAAAAGTACAGCTTAGAAAATAGAAATGTTAGTATAATGTATAATAAATAAATGTCCTCATTAGGTTAATTCTAAGGTTTTGATTTTCCAATGACAAGATGTTTTGTTCTGCATAAAAATACAAAAGACCAACATTTTACAGTGAAACAGACGCTAAGCCTATTCAATAGGACACATTTTAATTATACTAAGTGAATTTGTTTTGATGACATAGTATCTATGTGTTACGTCTAAGCCCTAGTAGCATTTAGGTCATCTCTGTGTATTCCTTTCTCCTGGCTGCCAGCACACATAGGCCCGGCCCTTAGTGTCTCTCTCAGGTTACTGTCATCTGGCCGTCCTGAGGTGGCTAACCTTTACGGGGATATGAAGTTACTCGACTAAAGCAAGAGCAGCATTCCATCTTATGCATATAAAAATTAAGAGACAACTATCTCCACTGGTGATAATAATAGTCTTTGGCATTACAGACTGAACTGCTAGGCTCAGTGACCTGAGAATTTATGGTCTTTTAAGATTAATGTTACCGGTCACATCTCAAAAGTTCAGGGCATCTGTAACAGCATAAAGGTCAAGGGTCAAACCATTTGCCTGACGACAAACATGAACAAGGGGCAGGTCTTAACTCGAGCGCACATAACTAAAATTCTTGTTAAAGTGTGAAATATGTTGCTATGGCAAGCTGAAATATCCATTTAAATATAAATGTCACTTACTATGTTTCAAAATAGATCTGTAAAATGATCTATTAAACGGAGGCATTTATTAGTGTGTTGTGGTGATTGCAGTGATTGAAAGAAAGGCAGGAAAGTGAAATAACAAACACCAAAGAGTTAAACTAATAGTCAAAAGATGCCAGTGAAGTCAGGAAATGAGAAAAAGGAGGAAGAGGTCACAGCAGAGAGTTAGCATAAAGTTTTAATCACAGAAGGAAAGACTCTAACACACAAAAAAAATCAGTCATCACAGACAGGATAACAGCAGAAGAGAGCAGTGAATCAAAGTTTATGAAATTCAACAAACATAAACCCCTGCATTCTAAAACAACAGTGATTTATGATGTCCTGTGAAAAAACACCTCTGGAATCACTGCTTTAAGTCACGAAAAGAATACATATGTAAGTCCGTGATGCAAATTAGTATGCAGCCCGTAGTTTGAAACATCAAAGAATCTAAGTACACAACGTATATTTATGTAGAAAACGCTGGAAAGCAGAGTAAATTACCCTGAAGACATAAAGACATAAAAGGAGTTCTGTCGCTGCAACTTTCATGTCAGTGAGCAGCATTAAATTGCAAATCATAGATCATAATCAGTCTGTTAAAGTGCTTTGTGGAGCAGCATCCCCTGGTGCCCACAGAATTGGGAGACAAAGTGGAAAAAGTGTGAGGTTGTTTCTCATCATATTTTAAAACTTACCGAAACTGGATGTATTTTAGGGCTAACGTGCTTAGCAGCTTTGGGTATGGAATTTATCTGATTACATTAAGGCACATTTTAATTTTAACTATAGTAATTACTGCTGTTTATTTGTTTCCTACTGTCGAGAAAATATAATTAGAGATTCACTGAAGAATTAAGGTGTAATCACTTTGATAATTTTGTCAGGAACAGACAAGGTCTCGGCCTTACTGCAATTATTATTGCGTTTCTTACACAATCAATTTGCTTTCTGACACACGTGATACACATACAAATTTTCCACACCATTTAAAACCTACAATACAAGAGATAGCACTAGAAGAAGGCACGAGTTGAGCAAAAGAGTGCAGAAACCTGTCAAATGTAGCCCTATACTAAAAACGTTTAGTTTTCCAACCATCAGATTTAAACACATTTTCTAAAAATGGTACAGAGAGGGTCTCCACACCTGTGGCGCAATCCCTGCCTTCTTGGCAGAAAACGTGGGCCTTGGCGCCTGGAGCCCCGATGACCGAGGAGAGGACACTCGCTCCGGAGAAAAGGCCGCCATAGGAGAGCTGATCCTCGGCTCCCCATAGGCTGGATCTGGCCGATATTCTGCTCCTCCTCTTGTGGGGCTGAGAGGCAGCTGTGGAGACATACACTGGGCACTGTGAGAAGGAGGGTTATTAGGTAAAGAAGCCTTTCTAGAGAAAGACTGGGAAGACATCAGGTTCTTGGACTGTGGTGCTCCTCTGGGTAGGGTACTAATGGGGTCCTTGACTGGGTTAAGGATGAAGAGGGAAGAGGAAATATGGTAGGGCCGGTGCCTCGACAGGTCCATCTCTATCTGGGTGCAACCATTTTCCAAAGGAGGGGGCTCTGGAATTGGCTCTGGTGCTGCAGCTTTTTGCCTCGGTTTTTGCTTGACTGCTTGTTGGGCCTTCAGGTTTTCTGAAAGCTGAGCACTCATGTCAGAGTTTTTAGCAATGGCCTTGACCCTGCCGGGCATGTTTGATGGGAACACCCAAGATGGTGGCAGAGACATCGCGGGAGAAGGAGACCTAATTTGTCCTGCATTTTGCTTCTCAACAACGTATTTCTCCATCCTGGACTGACGCTTGACAAACAGCTCAGCCCCCTTTCCTGATACATTGGTGAGGGTCTGCTCTGGCCTGTGCTCTGCCCTTGGACGGGTCCTGGAGGTCTTGAGGCAGGAAGCCCACTCTGGAGCTCTTGCCTCCTCGGCCCTGTCCTCTTCATTGGCGAGGAAGTTGGAGGCCTCTGCCCCCAGCGCCAGCAACTCTTCCTCGGACGCTGGCTCAGGCACAGATCTATGTCCATGTTTCTTCCTGTCATCCACCCCTTGCACCAGAGAGAGCAGCTCAGGGTTCGGAGCTATCACTGTCTTCTCTTTGAATGTGAACATTGACTTCCTATTTCCCCTTCTAGCAGCACCCTCCTCAAGTATTCCTGTTTTGATTTGTGTTATCGGCTTCCTCTCTCCAGCAGGCTGAGGAACGAAGGTGGAAGGCTTTGGGGCTGGGGGAGGGCCATAATGGGGCATAGGTGGGTACTGAGTCACAGAAGACACAGGGAAATGGGGTGGTGTATTGAAGGAAGGAGACATAACGGGAGACATCGGAGGTGGACTGGAGTAGTAGGTCTGCGGAGGTTGGTTTGTAAAGGCCGGTAGAGGAGGTGTGGGATATGAAGGAGGCGGAGGTGGAGGTGAGAACGCCAATGGTTGAGGGGCAGAGAAAGTAGGGAGTGGAGGAGTGGCATAGGAAGGAGGAGGGGGAATTCCCATGACAGGGCTGACCGCCTCTGGGGACTGCACTGTCAGCGGCGAGAAAAAGGGCCTGGCAGTTCGATTGGCGATGGTGCTTGTCTGCTTTGATGTGGGCACAGACACCCTCTCAGTTCCAGAGGAACTCTGGCAGCCATTATGAAGCTTTCCGGGGGGAGCTGGCCCTGTGTGACCCCCATGTGTCTCTGCCTCCCCTTCATCATGTCCCATCAGAACTGGATCAGTATTATTACTTCCAGGGGGAATCTCATCCTTGATTTTGTCCTCATGGATTTTATCTCTTGCCTCTTCCTCTTCCTCCTGCTCCTCCTTGACAGGGAGGAAATGTCTCTCTTGGATAACAATGTCCTCCATGTCGTCTCCCTTGTGGAAATCCTTACCTGGTTCCTCCATGATATCACCTACTGAATGTACCCTCCCAGGGGGTGACAAGAGGGGCTTGGTTGCGCTATTCTTAAAGTTCAAGTCTCTATCCTTTTCCTCAGTGCTCCTCTCTGCCCATGTTAGTTTGTTAGATGAAGGGTCCGTTTTCACATTCTCAGCTCTGTCCCCCCCTGACCCCTCTCCACAGCTTTCGAGCGTGAAGGCGCTGACCCTCTGTTTGCGCCGGTTGAAGAGCTGCACGCCTCTGGAGCTGGAGTTGGAAGGGACGGTGAGCTGAGCAGCGATGATGTGACTTCTGACACGAGCCTCCTTCAGCTCCTTCTCCGACAAACTGGCGCTCCTGGTCAGATCTGGAGTGAAAGAGACAGTGAACAGCCTGATCAATGAGAGACAACACATGTGGAATTTTGTCTTTTTTTTCATAACAGAGATGTTTGATTAATGATAAAAGGGACCCTATATTTGGGAGACTTGCAATGTACTGCATGTACTGTTCCGTGTTCAAACTAAGACAACTCCCTCAACATCTAATTAAAACTCACCAAACCGCTTTTATGTACAAATAGAGAACCAGCAAGGACAAATTTTCAACAAGTCTGAGATTAAATATTCTCTTTAAAAACCCACATAATTGTTTCTGCACCATATGGTTTTGATTGCTCTTTACAGTCCTTTTGATTGTAACCAATCCAGCGAGAAAAATACGGCTTTGTGGACACTTGACTCAGCAGAGTGGAGCTGTAGACAAAGAACAGACGTAGGCAAAGGAAACATTTTGATAAGCCTGTTGACTAAAGTTAATGAAAAGATTTACGTCAGTGTGTCCCTCAGTACTAAAGAAGTTGCTGTTAATCATGTCTTACACTGATGTTGCAGGTTTGCCGATTGCCTTGAAAACATATAGCTGTGTTCAAATTGACAGTTTGTTTTTGAAGCTTAAGAGCTCCAGCAGGCAGCGGAGCTATTTCCTCTGCCATCTGCAGTAGTCCCTCCCTGAGCATTCCTCCACCGCTGAGAAAACTCCCTGTCTGAGCTTCCAACATGCCTTTGGTTTCTCTCTGTAGTTAATTTGTGCAATACTGCTGCACAAACCCTTAATAGACCATTTTTACAATCTACGGCTCCCAAAAATGACATCTTTCGACTGCTGTCTATAAACACACGATACAATCAAGTGTTCCCATCTAAAGTATAGTGACTACATCACGCTTCAAAGCTCACCAGAGGAAAATCAAAGCTGCATTTCAGAATAAAAACCTTCAGTTATAGATTCTCTGATGGACATTTTAAAGGAAAATAACTGGTGTTGGTGACACCCATTATTCGTCTTAATTTATGTAACTCTGACTGGTGGGAGATATTCAACGTCTCACTGTCACAGCCATAGACTCTCTCTTCATTTAATGAAGTGACGGATCCAGACAGCTACATTATTTGATCTAATTATGTGCCAATCACAATAATTATGTGTAAATCAATCACTTGTAAAGCTTTCCTATATAGAGCAAATTCTGCGTGCAGTTTTTCCTGGCACAGAGAATGAAGCTAACATGATCCGTCCCCCAGCAAAAAGGAATAATATGCGTCTGTCATTGATTTTTACAGACTTTCAGTCTGCCCTCACGGTAATTGAATTAACTCTTTGTATGTAACCCATGAGTTCCTTTTAACCTATCTAAAGTTCAATAGCAGACGTTTATTATATTATAATTGAATATACAAAGAGGAACTATAGGGGCAGTTTGGATGATAAACATTTGCAGTGCATTTAGATGCACAAAATGACACCCTTTGATGGTGACGGTGGTTATGTCTGCAATGCCATACATCAATGTCAGCTTAAACTATGGTAAATCCCTCAACTTGACACTGACAGATGAAAAGAGAACGTGACACTATTAGAGGGAGATATATCAACCACCTTACGTATTTGTGTCAGCAATATAATAAGGATAAAAGCGTGATCACACAACCTTTTAAACAAGCGGTCCTCTCACAGCTATTGGCATGAGCATAAATCACCTTCCTTTATAGGCTGCAGCAGAGAAGCTACCACACAGGTACTCACTGTATACTCAGCGCCTTTTATCATGGGTGGGGATACCACCACACGTCCCATTTTTTATTAGCCAATTTCACTTTTTATAATCCAGGGGCCACCTGGATACACCAGAGTCAGAGCAGTGAGGCTTGAAATGAACTGTCCCCTCACTGTGAACATCTACCTCTAGTGGGAGCCAGACTGGTCATCGAGTAGTGCATGCAGGTGATTCAAATCATGAAAAAAAAGTAATAGTGGAGTTTTTGTTTCATGTCTTACAGTGAATTTGATAGTAATGTGTAAAAAACGTTGATTATTATCTGATTAAATGACACCAACCACTTTCCAGTAATATGTAAACTAATGAATATGTTAATATTTAATCAATAAACGGAGATAAATCTAATGTTCTTTTTATATTACAGCTTATATTACAGATGTCATAAGGAGCAGATTACACAGAAAAAATCTCAAAGGACTTCGGTTATAACTTTTTGATTTATGAGGGGAAAAAGTCCCCTAAAGTTTATAGCAGAAGCCTTCCGTTACAAAAACAACACGCTGCTTCTCACAATAAGTCATATTTCTTGACAAGGCAGCCAATCACAAGTTGTTCCTCAGGTTTCTGTAAAATATCCCGAAGTTAACCGAAAGTTTAATTTATCTGGCTGGATCCAATTTAGTGCCTGATCCCTTACCTTTTTCATGTTCAAATTCAGAGCTCCGCTGTTTTCTTGTATGTCCACAAGAGTTTTCATTTGAACTGCGTCTGATAGCTTCACACCCCCTTTCTGTAGCGAGACACGGGGTCGGATTTCTCTTCCTCCGCGCTCCGGCACACAGACGGGCAGACAGGGAGGGAGGTGGTCCGTGTAGCTGGAGGCTGTGCTGTCTGTCATTCAGCCTCCAGCTCTGTTTCACTTTTTCAAATCACCCCCCCCTCCTCCAGGGTTTCCTACTAATTATAAAAACAGAGACATGCCTCTGAGAAAAGAGCTCAGGGCTTCTCTTGCGAAGGTATTGATGTTTTAGCAGTTGCACATAGACTGCACTTTGTTTTGACAGTTCTGGAGAAGTATCCAATCAATGGCGAGCATTGAGCAGCTTATCTCTGTCTAATGTCCTGTGATGGCAGGGAAGTGTCTGACCCTTGTTGCAGTCTTTGAAGTGGAAAGGGATACCGGCGATAAAAAATGTGTCTATGGATTAGATCACTGAGACTCCAGAGATCCAGCACCTGACCTCTGCTGCCCTCCATGTCTGTCTGGATACCGACATGTAAGTGTGTCTTTATCGTGCACTCTCTCCCCAACCGAGTGTCTGCCCTCCCTGAACCCTCCGGGGCCCTAAGCTCCAACCTGCAAGGTCAACATAGGAATTTCCTGTCCTCCAGCAGAGACAAAACTCAGCCCTCGGCAATGATGCAAGAGCCTCCGCATCTCTTTGAGCCCCCCACCCACACCTTCTCCTATAACTCATCCCTCTGCTCTCTGGCCCAGCCCCTCATCACTGCGTGGGTGAGAGCAAACGGCAAACTGCCCCCACAGCCGGAGGATTTAAATCAGGGGGCCAACCCGCATTTGTGTATCAAAGGTCAGATTACCCTGTCGGATGTTATCTTTTTCCGGGTGATGGCTGTGGGGTGAGTGGGATGACAGCACCGGCCCCCGTGGGTAATGTGTGAAGCGGTATGGAAAGACGAGGATTAACAGGGGTCCTGGGATCTTCCCCGACTGAATGTGACTCAGACTCTTAGTGGATCCCGTGGGGGGAATAAAAGACCAAGCTCTACTGCCTATACTATTACTTCTGTGTGTTATGGAAAGTCTCTGCAGAGGTGTAGTCCACTATTAACTGTGCCTCTGTGTTGTTTTTGGTGGTCCGTGCTCCATTTGAGGAAACTAATTAGTGAGTAATGAGTGATGGGAACAGTGTTGGAGGTGCAGAGGCTATAGATCTATATCGGGGACAGTTATCTGATTGCCATGACCTTCCTGTTAAACTTCTTCACAGCACAATGTATTTTACTGTCTTTGAAAACTGCATCTGACAGACTTGTCGCAGCACAGAGGTAATTATCCAGCCTTCCGGCTAAGTGTTGTTTCAGTGTTTTTACCATTTCTCCATTTAACAACAGAATGTTGTTGGTGTTATAGAGCGTGAGCTCGTGTTTTTTCTTACTTGCTGGGGGTTGACAGCTGTGAAAGTAAAAAGAAAAGTCTGAAGAAGTTTCCGAACAGCTTTTGCCACAGGTTAGCCCGATACTGTCAGTGGCTGTGTTGTATATTCAGACCGGCTTTTAGCAATGATGCATGATTGCATTTCCATTGCTGCTGGGGCAGCTTGCATTTTCAAGGCATGGAAACAGATGTTTCATAGAGAGCTTCACTGTGTCAAGTTGCACTGTGGAGGCAGGGCTAAAGCCTCACTGTAGCATTACGGCAGCGCTCCAAACAACCATCTGCAAACGTATTTGCAACTACATTTCTGTGTTATGAAGTAACAGGGAAGCAATACCCTTTCTTGCTGCTGCTCGGGCTCCCCAAATAAGGACAGCAAATGCCAGATAAACAAACACTTACTTGTTTTCCGGCTCATCTGTTCTTTGTTGAATCCTGCCGTCTCCCATGATGCATTGCACTCCGTCCCAGGAGTGTGCGTGTTGTCGGTTGCCTGGAGAGGTTTCCTCAGTCCTCCTGGACTCCAGCTCACTCCCCTCCTGATAGACGTATGTCCCTTCTCCATTTCCATCGCCACTCAAAGTAAAATGCTTCTGCTTGCAGCGGAAACAAAAGCCCTCGACAGGGGGATGTGTGAGTGTTTCGTTCCAGTCAGCTCAATCTTCTCTCCCGATAAGAGGAAACTGTCGGTGCAGTTGGAAGATGGAAGTTTTAGTCCTCACTGGCAGACAGTGGATATGTTTGCAAATACAAGAAAACAGACAAAAAAGGACAAGGAAAGGAGTAGCTCAGCTTTCCAAGTTTCTGCTTCCGGTCGTGGCTCCCCTTTCAGCAATAATCCTTCCACATGTTATCCTGTAGTCAGCCAGAATTTGACGGAAAAACTGCGCTCTCACTTTGGTCTTCATGAAGTATTATTCTCGAACTAACAGGACCTCCCAGGAGGGTCAAGCTCAGAGGTGCCTTGGACGAGTTCCCATGGACAACTGCCACGAAAATTGCACAAGTTTGTTGTGCTCTGTTGGAATTCTGGCAAACAGGGCTGAGAAACAGTCCAGTCTTCTCTATTTGCATTTCTCTAATACTCCTTCTTCTTCTTTCCCAGACGTTGCTCTTCCTCCTCTGCTATTTTGGTCACCAAAACATGCTTTTCGTCTGCGTCCCAATCTCCAGCTCGCAGATTATTTTTCTTTCGGAGAAAAGGATCTGCCCTTTATCTTGGAGTTCATAACTCCACAGTGACGTGAGGGGGAACTGTGTATATGGCAGCTTCCTGCTGTTAGGTGCATGTGAGGAATAACATTTCACTCTGGAAAGGTCATTCCAGAGACTGCTTTGTATTCAGCGCTCCAATCTATTCAATTAAAGTTGCTTTATTCTGGTGTTCTATGTTATTTCTTATACATTAAAGCCAGACTTAGCCTCTGAAGGCAGGATAATCAATTCCGCTGTTTTGTTTATCCACAAAACCACAATTGAGAAGGATAGTTCTTATATCTTCTGGTGGTAGTTTTGATTAATACTGAAATGCATCAGCACACTGGAGCTAAGAATGTGTCATGAGTGCAGTAATTATGTGGTTGGCAGCTGTGCCATTTGGATTTTCTTTTTGTTTGTTTTGCTGCTTGTAGAAAAGATTTGATAGCTGTGCTTGTTCACCCAGTTTGTAAAAAACTGTTTTAGTTTGGCGGACAAAGCTTCAGCTGTAGATAAATGGATGAAAGGCGGCTGTTCTTTATCCAGTATTCCTCACTGGGTCCATTTTCTGTCCAGAACCATCTGGAAAGAAAGAGAAATACACAGGTTAAGATTCAGTTTTGCAAACGTTTCGTCAATTGTGTTATTCAAATGTGACATTTGCAAAGACAAAAGCTGGATGTTGCATCGACCCACAAACAAACCGCAGCTTTGGCAAACAGCTGGTACACGAATCCTACTCGATATTCTATCGTCGCCCTCTCTGTAATGCCATGAGTTTCAACCCAATGCCTTGTACAGGATATAAAGTGTATAAGCAGTCCAAAAGATCCGTCTTTTGTGCCGAGTCTGCAGATTTTACAAATTGGAGTGGGTGACAAAGTGAAAGAAGTGTGGCTTAAAAAACACTTTAATATACTCCGTTTGGCTCATCTAATACTTTTAATGAACACTGGTTTACTTCCAAAAGGCTTATATCTCAACCTATACGTCCATTTTTGAGACAATGAAAGTCCAATTTTCTGTCTTCGAAGATAAAGATCAGCCCTCTGACTTTGAACTGCACTCAGGCTAAAAGAGTGGAAAAGGAAATGAGGAGACGCCTTTATAAAAGTCTGAACGCGATAAACTCAGTGTTGTCTCCAAAGACAGAAGGTCACAATTCGCTTTCGCTATAAGGTTGGAAATGTGTATTAAACCTGTCAAAAAATGAGCTTCATCTCTACCTCGGGGTCTGTGATGTGATGCAGAACGGTGAGAAAGTGAATGGCGGATTTCAAGATTTCTACGTAGAAGAGACAAAGACAAAAATGTCCAACAGTGACATCTTTTGCATCCCTCCTTATAGGATAAAGCATTTCCTTAGATCCGCAGTGTCATGTTCCCACTTCAAAGCTAATAGTACCCACCAAACCAGTGTTTGCATGTCCTTTTCCATGCTCAGACTTGCCTCTCCTGGAAGCTGATCACGATTGCATTTGTGTTTGCTCGTGAATCACCCCTGTAGCACTCAGGAGTGGGAGGTCTGTGCAGAGAACTACACACATAATCATTACTTCTGAAATTCCTGCGGGGCACAGCAACCACGCTCGCATTCATCTTCTCTGAAGGTGCGCAAGTGCCATTAACTTGTTTGCATCCCTTAAAGATCGAGTTTTGTGGAGACAGGTCCCCCTGACATGACAGCTGAGTCATGACTCAGCTGTGGGAGGACTGCTCATCGGCCCTTGAAGACAATCAACCCAAACACAGCACTGCCCCACCTCCCTGAAAAAGAAAGAAAAACCCTTTCGTTTACTGGCGCGATCGTGTCAAGTGAGAAGAGATGAAGGCCGGTATTGTTTAGACACACTGACAACAGCTCTTTGATTCCCCCAGAAGTGTTCGGTTCTATCTGGATCTCATTTGGAGGCTGACATTGTCCTTGTGAATTAGCACCTCGTCTTGCTACATTTCCTTGATTCAAAGCTGTCTTCGTGGTTCCAAGATGTCATGTTTGCTGTAATCAATGAGAAGAGAGGTGAGCACAGGTCTGACTGAAACATGGTTTGATTACTTCTCTTTGATTCAGTCTGCAAACATTTATTAACTCCCAGAAAAAGAACAGATGTAGCACTAGCAGAGATGCAGACATGGCAAAAGAAAACCTCACACACGGACATATGGGCTCTTGAAGTCCTCGTCTTCCACGATCTACCGTCCAATTGCCTTGAAGTTCACAAAGTATTTCACAGCGCCCACCTGTTCAGCTCCGGTCCCATCCTCACACAGTTTTCCTGTGCCACTCATTGACCTCCACGATTAGAGCCACGGATATCTTTTCCAGTCCTGCCCGTTGGCCACTTTAGTGTGTAATCGCAGAGTTCCTGTACATCGTCAACATTAATGATGGATACATACGCTGACGGCAAATTTCCCACCACTCTCTGCGGCATGCCTCGCTCAAAATAAATGTCCTTGGCAGCCATACAAACCACAATCATTTGTCTCTCACGGACGATGTCATGTACATTTATTACACATCTGCATCAATAGCTAACATGTAGACAGCATGTCATCCACCTAATAACTCATACACTGGATGCATTTTCACCTCAGGTATGGCATCTGTACATCATCAGTTGCTCTGGGCGTACATGTGTTGAGGTATGTGAGATGTGTGGATGGCAGGTGAGCGTGCATTTCACCTACTGTAAGACTTGCAAGTGTATCAGTTACACAGCTTTTAATGAGGCATCTGGTCACGATGTTGACTGGCAAGCCTTTAGGATTGAATCCCTTTGGGGCAGAGCTGCTGTGTGTCTGTTATCTCTTTCCTTTTTGCCTGGATCCCTTACAGTTTGGCAAGCAAAAAAATCATTCAGCCGTGAATGCTAAAGGCTTTAGCAGGGCCCTTTGCTCTGTCTCTCGCGTGCGCGCGCCTGCTCAGACAAAGAACTATTCAAGGGCCCTCGTAGCACTACAAAATAATTTTGGGTAGTGCTCCAAAGTTGGCATTCCTGGGTCATAATTCCTCGGGAGGCTGCGATAGTCAACATGCCTCGGCCTGTGCTGGCTGTTGAGTGACATCTAACACCCTGCAAGACACAGACTCCAATAAAAGTCACAAATGTCTTCTTCTCTCTGTTTCCCTTTCCTCTTTTAGGAATCTTGCAAAGTCCTGTCATAAATCATGCAGCGGAAAACCTTTTTTCATGCGGAGCCCATCCTCTCAGAGTCACAGGTGGGGAACTTCAAGAGGAAAGATAAATACTTAGGTAGGTGTGTATGATCTAGTGCCAAGGGAGTAAGGGGGGGGGGGGGGGGGGGGGGG